AGCTCGTCAAGTTCTGCTTGACTTGCACAGGCGCTCGCGAACAGTGCTTTGTTGAAAGCTCCAAGCAAGGTGGCTATCGCCGGCGGAATGGCACTGTCCGTGATCAGCTGGTTGAAGTCGCTCATGATCCTGGCCAAAGACATCAGGGAGTGTGACAAGTGAGACAACAGAAGCTGAGGGTCTGACGTCGTGAAGTACCTGAGCAAAGTGTCTGTGCATGTCGAAGGATGAAAGACGCCTCGTGCCTGGGACGATTTCTCCTGGAGACTTCCGGAAACTATGAGCCCAGCGGGAGCTGACTGAGCCAAGCGGGCGGAGCAAGGGATGAAAAATGCGTTGCCGAAGTGAGTATGTATGCAGATCCGAAGGAATGACACAGCAAGTGGCGAGGGGAAATTTTTAAGCGGAGAAGCGGAAGCGAGGCTCGAGCGTAAGTTTATCATCGGCACCTAGTGCCAAGCCCCAGCGGGGAGACAAGCGACGAGCTTTGTCGCCCAAAAGCGGGGCGATTCCGATCCCGCAAGCGGGACTCATTGGCGCCATTGGCCCTGATTCCAGCCCTCATTCCAGGAGCCACCCCACTGTTCTTCCCAATTCCAAGCGGGCTGTTCTTGCCAGCCTCCATGTTCCCAGGTTTCGGTGCTGTAAGCGGGGGTCTGTTGGGCCGAGCGCCGTTCCGCTCGCTTGCAGTCTCTGCACCGATGCCTGAAGTGGAAGGAAGCGGTGCGATCTGAAAATGTCGCCTGGCAAAAGCCATTTCCACACAGTTCGCAGATCTTCCTGCATGCCCACAACTGCACTAAGCAAAGAAGTGGGCGGCCTTCGGAATCATTGATAGTGTGCCCCACTCTGAAAGGGGGTGCTTCTGAGGCCAGAGCGGGTGCCCTCTCTGGGGCCCCGGGCTGGGTGGCTGGCTCGGGGGTGGGCTGGGGAGGGGCCGGGTCCGCGGGCACCGGGTCGTCGAGAACAATCTGTGGTGGAGGTGCCTTGGACGAAGCTGGAGTGGTTGGATTTGCCACTGGGGGATCTTTTGGCACGGCCTTGGGAGCCGGGGTCGTTGAAGCCGGTGGTGCTGTGGCTGGAGTATTCGCGGGAGGCGGGTGAGCCTTGGCAGTGGTGGGGTTATTTGCCAGTGCCGCCGTTGCCCGGGCAGGTGGTGTTTTCACCTCCGAGGACTTTTGCCCGCGATTGGCTGCTTTGGCAACCTCAGGCACAGACCGGGCTGAAGGCTGTGCAGCTTTGGCCCGCGAAGCGGGCAAAGTTGGCTCAATTTAGTCTTCGAAGACGATAGTTTCCCCCATTGGGTCAATAAGGGAGGGGGGGATGCCGGGACATTACTGCCTGCGCTCCCCTGGCTGGCACTAGCGGGTGCTGGGGTGCTGGCGGCTGTGGGCTTCTGGCGGTCCCGGGCATCCATTGAGCGAAGCACTTTGAGCTTCTCGTCCAGGGAGAGGGCCTCGAAGACTTGGACCAAGTTGGAGCTCTCAGCACTGAGCTGATCCATCACCCAAGCTGGAAGGAATGCGGACCTAGAATACATAAGCGGGGCTCGAGCTAAGAGAATGCAAGCGTGAAAGTTTTGCAGCACAAGCGGGCTGACAGCATGCGAAAGCGTGAAGCACTGGTAACTTGAGTGTAACGCACCGCAGCTATTTCATCACCCCTCATTGGTGTGCAGCGGGAGTCGAAACTAAGAGGCAAGCTTTGCGCTTGCACAAGCGAGCGTCTCCGGGCATCTTGGAGGCTGGAGTGAAATCTGTGATGCAACCACAAGCGGGGTGGGTGACAGCGTATTTCACATGATGGGTTCTGACAAGCTGAGCAGACAACGCGGGAGCCGGGGTGTGAGATGCATGCGTGTGCCACCCCCGATGTGCTGATAAGAAAGCGAATGGACCCACAATTGTGAGGAGGGGGCCCGGCGGCCTTTGGCCATGCCTTACACGGGGGTGCCTCCATGGGCTCAGCCGCTGCGTGCCATGAAGGTTCGGCCTCCACAGGGGCCGCTGGTGCTAAGGGAGTTGTCTGTGTGCCCGGCTCGTCACCATCGGAATCCACAAAGGGGTCGACCTGCGAGCGCCATTGAGTGCAGGCGGGAAGCTTGGGTTCCGTGCCAATCTCTGCTTCCGAAGCCAAGCGCGCTTCCCGAAGGTCTTCATCTTTGGCCTCCCTGGTCAGAAAAGCAGCAGCATCATCCTCAATCCGGAAGCACCGAAGCTGAGGGGAACATGCAGACCAAGATGTACCTGACAACTCGAGTGGAGGCTCCGAAAGCGGGGCTTGCCCTCCGCGGTGTTGAGGCCTGACTGGACGGAAACCACTATGAACTGCTCGCCAGAGTAGCACCTGTGCTTTCAAGGCGGGCCAAAC